TGGATCCACGTCTCTGATGCCTCAGTGAACACCACACGCTGTGGCAGCTTCGCAAGCAAACATCACCACATACGGCCCCAACACACGCCCTCGGAATGACTCTCACATGCTTCAAAGCTTCCCCACGTTCCGCACAAACTCGCACCCAATTGTTTCATGTTGTTTTCTTTCATCGTGGCGTGGCTCCGCTCGATATCAGGGTGATCCCCTCGCACGCAAGTGAGCTCCAGACCTCCAGACTTGAGAGGCCCGTGGAGCACAGCAGGCGGGCCGTGGCGGGGGCCGCCAACAGAGCGAGGGGACCGGGCGTCTCCGACGTTCTCTTTCCGCGGTGTGGAGCTGGGCACCTCGAGTCGGCGAAGGAGGCGCAGACACCGGGGAAGGCGAGGCGGTCTGCTCGTTCGAAGCCGCTCCTCTAGGACCGCTCTACCCTCCATCTACCTGGCCAACGTCCAGTCTCTGCCCAACAAGACGGACGAGCTCCTGTGTCGGGTCCAGAGCCAGCGCGAGGCCCAGGACTGCGCTGTGTTCTGTCTCAGCGAGACGTGGCTCCACTCGAACATCCCGGACTCTGCTGTTCAGCCCCCGGGATTCACCGCTCACCGCGCGGACAGAGTGAAGGAGACCACGGGCAAGGCAGAGGCGGAGGTGTGTGCTTTTTAATTAATCAGCGCTGGTGCACGGATACTCGAATCGTGAACCAAACATGTACTGCCAATCTGGAATGCCTGGTCTTGAGCTGCCGCCCTTTTTATCTTCCCCGTGAGTTTTCAGTGATATTTTTATGTGCTGTTTACATACACCCACGTGCGGATTACGAAGTAGCCCTACAGGATCTGAGCGAGATCCTTCACAAACATGAGTCTGCTCATCCTAACGCAGTCATCATTGTTGCTGGGGATTTCAATAAATGTAATTTAAAGACTGTACTCCCGAACTTTTACCAACATGTGACTCGAGCTACAAGAGGAGCACATGTTCTGGATCACTGCTACAGTAACGTGAAGGGTAAACTGATTGAAAAGCTCATGTCTCTCGGTTTAAGTGTTGCCATGTGTAAATGGATTTTTAGCTTTTTAACTGACAGATCTCAGAGAGTAAAAATCAATGACTGTTTTTCTGATGTTGCTTCTGTGAGCACTGGTTCTCCTCAGGGATGTATTTTGAGTTCTTTGCTTTTTACTTTGTACACTCATGATTGTGTGTCTTCCGCTGACTCAAACTTGATCATCAAATATGCTGATGACACCACCATCATCGGTCTCATCAGTGACACTGATGAATCCTCTTATAGAGCAGAGATACAAAATGTGGTTCAGTGGAGTAAAACTAACAACCTCCAGTTGAACGCATCGAAAACATGTGAACTGGTCTACGACTTCCGTCGCAATAGTTCTCATTTGCCTGTCGTAATCGACAACTCCCAGGTGCAGATCGTAGAGGAGTGCAAGTTTCTGGGTTTAACTCTGTCTAACGACCTGAAATGGGTTAAAAACACTGACCGAGTCGTTAAGAAAGCTTCTGCTAAGTTAAGCAGAAAGATTCTGCTTAACTTTTATCGCTGCACCATTGAGAGTTTACTTGTTGGTTCTGTGTCTGTGTGGTTTGGAAACATCACAGATAAAGAAAAGAGATCTTTAAACAAGGTGCTCCGCTCTGCAAAGAGGACCGTGGGCTGTGAGCTTCCTGTTCTGGAGGTTCTTTATAAATCCAGACTTTTAAACAAAGCTATGAGGATTGTTAATGACTCTTCTGGCCACCCTGGAAAAGCCATGTTCCAGCTTCTTCCCTCTGGCAGATGATATCGCTCTCTGAGATGCAGGACATCTCGTTACGCTAACAGTTTTTATCCACAAGCTGTTATCAGTCTGAACAGAGCACTTTAATGATTTGCACTTGTTTTGAAACTGTTTTAGTCGATCGATTTCACAGGGACATTTGTTTACTGTTTTATTTGATTTATTTCTGTCTTTTAATGTTGTTTTATGTCTGTATTTGTCTGTGCACACTGGAGACTTTTTGCTAATGTATTCCAATGTGTTTTTTTTTACTGCAAATAAACTGAATCTGAATCTTGTGCACAAGGGTGGTTTTTAAGGGTGTGAGGGCCCTCGCCTCTTCTCCCTAAGTATTGGGACACACTACAACCTCAACAGGCACGCGCAATATCTAGGGCAAGGGTGCTTTTTAAAGCCTAGCGTACATCGACAGAGAAACTGGGGACAACTAGTTGCAAGGCGGCTTTTGGCGACTGAGAGGAGATGGTGGGAGATGATCAGTTGCCAAAATCGGTCGATGTGCGCGCTCTTACAACTGGAGATGATCAGTCGGTCTCCAGTTTCAGTCAGTTGCCCGTGTTCTACTTTTCGGCAACTAGTTGTCCTCAGTTTCGGAGATATGACCCGATGTGCGCGCTCCATGCGCCGCTCCAACAACGTGTGTGTATTGCGTGTATTGCGCCCTCTACAGTTTATGTCAGAAAACACACTGTAGTTGAGGCCAGTTGCTGTCGATGTACGCGCTGTTATTCCCGAGACTGGTCTGCGACTGGGAGTTGCCTGTTTTCGTCAGATTGTCGATGTGTGCGGGGCAGCAACTCACATGCGACGGATATAATCAGTTGCCAGTCCGATGTACGCTAGGCTTTAGGGCAAGGGTGAGAATTGGGACCGGGCTATAGTCCCTCCAGCAGGTCCTGGGTCTTCCCTGGGGTCTCCTTATGGTGGGACGGGCCCAGAACACCTCCTCAGGGAGGCGTCCAGGAAGCATCCAGAACAGATGCCTGAGCCACCTCAACTAGTTCCTCTCGACATGGAGAAGCAGTGGCTCTACTCCGAGCTCCTCCCGTATGACTGAGCTCCTCACCCTATCTCTAAGGGAGCGTGTCACGCTTCATCCTTCCCTCACTCGTGATACTTGAACTCCTCTACTTGAGGAAGGACCTCTCCACCCACCTGGAGAGGGCAAGGCACCTTTTTCCGGTCGAGCACCATGGCCTCGGATTTGGAGGTGCTGATTCTCATCCCAGCCGCTTCACACTCGGCTGCAAACTGTCCCAGTGCATGTTGCAGGTCCTGGTTTGTTTGAGCCAAAAGATTTCATTTCTGCTGATTTCATTTCTGCTTTTTGCGGACAATGTTATTGTCCGCAAACAGAAATTCTGTTCATAAAGACAGGGAACAGAACCAGTGACAAAGGGCAGCCTTGGCAAAGGCCAACATGCACCAGGAACAGGTCTGACTTTCTGCTGGCAATGCAAATGCAGCTCTGGCTCCAGTCATACAAGGACCTCAGCAGAGGACCCCAGACCCTGTACTACCGAAGAACCCCCCAAAGGACATCCTTGGGAACACAGTCAAACGCCTTCTCCAAATCCACAAAGCACATGTGGACAGGTTGGGCGAACTCCCATGAACCTTCCAGTATCCGATGGAGAGTACAGGTCCAGTCCAGTGTTCCGCTTGGCATCTAGGAATCTTGGCATAAATATTGAAATTTACCCACTGTGGTACAGACACAGGCTCTATTATTGCAGGTTAATTCATGGAAAGGAAGAGAGTATAGGATAAGTTTATGATTAGTGATGAAGGCAGTCAAATCAACATGTAAAAAATGAATAACACTCTTTTCCTCTTGACCTTATTCCAACCCTATAACTCTAGCATGAGAATCACTAGTTTGACAAGCATCAACAAAGTAAAATGTCTTCTCTAAAAGCAAAAAGAGAACTGAAAAATCATTCAAAGTAATGCCCCGCTGACTCGAGCTTTAGTTTGTGTTTATGAGGGCAGGTCAGGGTCTCCATCCCAGGGTCTCAGAGAAGGATCGACCACTTTGTTTTTGTATTAAGAAATTGTATTGGTGTTTCGCCCAGCATTTTCACAGGGCCAGTCAATCTAAAGGAATCTGTAACACCCAATAACATGATCTGCATCTACAGTATCAGAGTAGCAGAGATATTTTAATATTCTGGTAATCATGTCGGAATCTACTGGTGGAGCTGTGTTTTACATGGACAGTGCGAACTCAAGGTCCCCACAAGAGAGACTCACTACTGTACTTATGCATTTTAACTGTGAGGCAAATTTGTTATGCATGCTCTCTTTACACACTGGGAAGTGCAAACGTGAGAATCTGCAAATTATTTAAAGACACAGAACACACATGGTGTTTTACAGTGCCTTTACAAAGACAGAAACAGTAATGAATTGAGAAACCTAATCAATCCAAAATGTCAGCTAGAAGATGAAAGTAACTCAACCATCAAGATGCTTTGACCCAGATAAAGGTACACACACCCTTATTCATCCAGAACTGCTTTATAGTGGAAAAGGTTGTGAAGGGTGTCCCATCACTCAAACACTAACTCAGATTGTAACCTTAAAGAATAGCGAATATGGATTAATTTCGGCCCTTAAACATGATTTGGCCACTATGTACTTTGGCATTTGATCTTTAATATTGTGATATGGATAAACTTGTATGTAAATAACTTAGTTCACAATACCGCTAGAGAGGAGTTGAATTTATTTTTATGTAGTTTTTTTTCCAAATTAATACATTACCTTCTGCATAAAACAGCCATGCAGACCAGTGTGTGTGTGTGTGTGTGTGTGTGTGTGTGTGTGTGTGTGTGTGTGTGTGTGTGTGTGTGTGTGTGTGTGTGTGTGTGTGTGTGTATTTGTTTTGTTTTTGATGTCACAGTATAAGAATACACCTCAGCGCACCTGGTTTGAAACAAGTTCCTGATATGAAGTGTTTATGTAGACTTTTTTTTTTTTACCACAATGAACAATGTTGTAATGTGGTTAAATTGTGAACAGAGACTATTTTGCATAATATAGCTCCTTTAAAATATATTCATCACCCAATGTTTGACTCTATAATTGAGACATATCACCATCTTGTGAATGGGTACAATTACAACAAATGCACAAACACATTTTCTGTGTGAACCGAGCTCTAACTACAAACTAAATCCAAACAAAACCCAACTCCTCTTAGCCATACCTTTCTCTGGACTCCACCTCTGGAGGCTTCTCTATGCTGCTTTTGGCATCTTCCTGTCCAGAGATGCTGTCATCTTTCCTAGGAGTGCTTGGAAGGGAGGAGCTTTTGGGAGTCTCTTCACTGATGTGTACACCCTGGATAGTGCTGTGTTGCTGATGCCATGAGTGTTGACCGCTCCTAACGCAGACAGGTGTGGGGCCCGGTGTCGGTGATAGGATGTTATGCACTGGACTACTATTCTTCCTTAGACCTCCAGCACTTCTTTCCCGTGAGTGGCTCTTGAGACGCCCATGGACAGGAGTTGTTCTGTGATCCAAGCCAGAATCCTGTGGGACAAAGCCCCCCATCCCACCACTGCCACTTCCAGCCGGACCTTGGGACGAGTGACTAAACCAGCGCCAGCGCAACCTCAGTATCTGCTTCATGTCAAAATCCTTCTTCCCAGACACAGACATCCTCCTCTTGTGGCTTTAGAGACAAAGACAGGGCAACAAAAAGCCCCCCAAAACATGGATAGTGTTGCAAAGACGTATAGGCTGGTATTACTGTCTCAGTACTCTCATGCCTCCACCTCCATACTCTGCTCCTGTTGTTCTACCGCTGGAGCTACAAGGCAACCTCTGCAGCTTTTGTTCCTGTGCCTCACACTACACTACCCTCCCTCTAACTCATGCGCGCTGTCTTCTCCTCCTCTCTCTCTTCCCCCGTGCTCCTGCTGCGTACAACTGGAGCTGACTTAATGCACACACATGATCCTCCCCCTCTTTTCCTTTCGTCTCTTTCTCCTGCTTGGAAAATATCATATAAACAGGCAAATAGTGCAGAAATATCCAAGTATTTATACATCTAATTATGTAGAGAATAAAATGGTATATAGACCAATAAAAAAACAAAAAACATCAAAAAATTTAAGTCATTTTTGTATAGCCCTAACTCATGACAGCAGACAGCAAGCATTTCCAACATCATTACAAAATTGTCAATTTGCCAACAACAGATTAAAGAATCAAACAACTAGAATACAGAAAATAAACTGGATAATAGTGGAATAACCAATGTCCATAAACGTCATAAATGTCTGTGTCGTGAATCATCAAATAACAAATTATGTCGTGCAGTATACAAAACTAATAAATTAAGATGTTTATACAGCATATACATATATATGTATATATGTACATATATATGTATATATGTATACAGTATATAATTATGTATATGTATATATATATATATATACAACTTTGAATCCACTTTATTCTTGTATAGCCCTAAATCACAACAGTAGTCCTCTCAAAAGACTTAAGAGAAAATTGTTGAAATTGCCAACAACAGCTCAGAGACTCAACAGTTAAGACACAAATTTAAAAAAACTCTAAAACCCAGTGGGAGAAAAGTGAGAAACCTCGGGGTGATCCACATTAAGAGAGGGATCCGCTCCACACGGACGGATGGGCTATAGATCCATGATACAAATATACAAATATTTAATGTTTATTCACTGAACTTTCCATCAAATTCATTGTTTTGTGCTGGTAGTAAGACCTATTATCTAGATAAACCATATTTTATGAACAGCCTCTATGCTCAAACAATTTTAGTACAGTGCATTTATAAAAGTTTAAATTGTCTATATTGACTAAAAATCAATTGTTAATACTAAGTTGCCCTTAGAGAGAATTATCAGTCTTTGTGGTGAGGCTGCCAATGACATAGAAGATCAGACATCAAATAACTGCAAAATGCGGTCTTACCTTAGTTACTCCTCAACATTTGAGTGCTGTTGTTTCTGAAGACTCAAGTCCCCTGCAAAACTCCAACAGAAAGTAGAACAGGACTGGATGGGAAGAACTTTCCACTTCTAGGAAATCCCTGACAAGTTCCTTCCTTTGTGTATAGGGATTCTGGAACAATAGCTTTCAGCTGACCAGGAACTATGTAACATCCTGTGTTGAACAATTTTCTTTAAAAACTCCAACTATATCAAATCTAATCTTGGCACATTGTTACATACCATAGACACATTGCCTGGTTTGGAAAAGACTTAAATTGTCTCAAGTCCACATGTATTTTTTTTTTTTTGTAATTTCAATTGGCCTTGGTTAAAGACGCACCACCCTGACGTTAAGACGTCAGGATCAGTTGGAAATCAATTGGTTTTGTCATGAGACCCGTCCCAGACTATTACTGCCCGCAACTCTTAGACTTGGTTTTTTTTCTTGTCCCTTACCTGCGTTAATTGATTCTGGAGCTGAGGACAACTTCATCGATGTAGAGCTGGTAAAACAGTCTAAGATCCCAACCCAAGCACTTAAAGCTGCACTAACTGACTTTGGGATTTTGAAGCCGTGGACTCGCTGGCCTCTCTCTTTCTGCTCCCCCCCGCACCCACGAAGCTATCGCCCCCCACACACACTCACTGTTGGGACGGAGCTAGTGTCTCCCAATATGGATAATACATGGATATGGATTTGCACGTGGATGGCGTGACCATAAAACGATAGAACCGGGAAGCGCGGAGGAACGGGACTTTCTTTTGGATGGCTGTTTCGCTGTGTAAGCAGTAACCGGTGACGAAGACACACGAAGCTTCAGGTTAGCTCCGCCGCTTGTTGTGCTAACTCAGCCGTCTATGCTAACGGACCTGTAGATTTCTCACGAAAGTGGGGGCCAGTGGTCCGTTGTGATTGGTCACAATCTGCGACCCGAAACACATTCTCTTCCTTGTTTCATCAAAACTCGATCTAAAATATAATGTCACGCCAGCACAAATCTGCGCTAATTATTCTTCAAAAGGACGTATATCCCAATGCACTACATGGACATGGATAGCATTTTCGTAATGAATACGAAAATAAAGTCAGTTAGTGCAGCTTTAAGTCTCCCATTAAAGCTAGCTCATTAAGTGGACAACTTTTGGCCAATATTACACACACTACGGTTCCGGTTACCCTTTGCCTCTCCGGAAACCACAGTGAGGAGATTCCAGTTAAAGATTATTTCGTCTCCTCACACACCACTTGTGCTTGGGCATCCCTGGTTGAGTCTACACAACCCTTCCACTTTTTAAATGCCTTTATTAATAGAGCACAATTATTTACAAGACAACAACAAATGTACATTGCATGCAGTAATATATCAACGATGATAATATTTATACTGGTTTAAAATTGTAAAGTGTCCCATGGGAGGTGAGGAGAGTTGTTACGTTGCTGCTTGAGTTGTGTTATGACTTGTTTGTATATTGTGAAACTGTCAATGAAAGTTTGTGATATTGTCATTTTTGTCCGTGTTTTCCAGATTTGTACAGTCGTTATTGCAATGCTGCGTTGGAAGAGTTCTTGCTGCTGTGGGGGGAGAGTTTCTTGAAGTAGTCCGTATATGATGGATCGATAAGTGATTGAAATAGTGAGTGAAGACGCACCACCCTGACGTTAAGACGTCAGGATCAGTTGGAAATCAATTGGTTTTGTCATGAGGGCAGTTTTTGGTGCTCCTCCTGTCTCTCACTCCCCTCCCCTTGTGTGTCTGTAAGTCTCCTCCCCCATTGCAGGTGCCTGCTGCGAGGGCCCACCTGTGTCTCATCAGGCCAATCGGGGAAAGTATTTGTTTGCTGGAAATCCACTCAGCCAGTGCCAGTTCGTCCCTTGACTGTGGTGAATCAACGAATTTTGTGAGACTTTTGAGAGACTGTTTTTGGACTTGTTTAATGTGGTTTTTGTATTTTCCTCAGGTGGAGGACCTGCTTTCCCAGTACATTCCTGGAGCTTGTTTTGGACTTTATTTTTGTTCTCCAGTGATTTTTGTTTTATTAAATTTTACTTGTTACCCTTGGATCCACGTTTGGAGTCTATTTTGTCAAACCACAACAGAACGAACTGGCCAAGATGAATCCAGCGGATCCTCCTCATGGTGACACACCTGCATCAATTAGAGAGGCTGTCTCTCATCAAGGAATCCTGCTAGGCCAGCATGAAGAAACGCTCATCTTGTCCAAGGAAATCAGGAACTGGTTGCACATATGACTCAGTTAATGCATCAAATGTCTGTACTCACCAGCCATCTTTCATCCACAGCCTCTGCCCAGCCGCCCTCTCCCCCTGCCACTCCTCAGGACTCTATTGCCAAGCCTGAAGTGCCTGTTCCGCATCCCGAGCCTTTTCATGGGGACCTGGGAAGCTGTAGAGGATTTTTACTACAGTGTTCGAACGTCTTTCAACTCCGGCCTGCCACCTTTTCAACAGATAAGTCTAAAATTCTGTTCATGGTGGGACTATTGCGTGGCAGGGCATTAACATGGGCAGAAGCAGAAGATTCTGATAGCCCCTTGGCCTCTATGGGGTTCAACTTTTTTATTGAGCGTTTTCGTCAAGTTTTTGACCACCCTGATTACGCTGGCAGTGCTTCAAAGCGTCTTATTACAATACAGCAAGGAAGTCGCAGTGCAGCAGATTATTCTGTCGAGTTCCAAACCATGGCAGCCGATTCAGGATGGAATGACAAAGCGCTAATGGAAATTTTTATTAAAGGACTAAATGAGCAGCTGAAGGACGAATTAGCCTGTAGAGACGAAGAGACCACTTTCAAATCTCATTTCCTTGGTGATTCGTTTAGATAATCGCCTACGTGAGCGCCGCCGCGAGAAGGCTGGACGTTCGAGACCCTCTCCAATGGTACATCGTCCTACAACTCTTCAAACCGCTGCTGAGACTTTTTCCACATACTGCTCCAGTTGAAACAGATGAACCCATGCAGCTGGGTAGAGCACACCTATCTCCTATGGAACGACAGCAGCGCTTGAGGTTAGGTCAGTGCTTCTATTGTGGGGAATCGGGCCACTTAATTGGTACTTGTCCTAGAAAGCCAAAAGACCAGACTCACCAATAGCTCTGGGAGTATTGGTGAGTCATGCTGAATTAGAGACCCGTCCCAGACTATTACTGCCCGCAACTCTTAGACTTGGTTTTTTTTCTTGTCCCTTACCTGCGTTAATTGATTCTGGAGCTGAGGACAACTTCATCGATGTAGAGCTGGTAAAACAGTCTAAGATCCCAACCCAAGCACTTAAGTCTCCCATTAAAGCTAGCTCATTAAGTGGACAACTTTTGGCCAATATTACACACACTACGGTTCCGGTTACCCTTTGCCTCTCCGGAAACCACAGTGAGGAGATTCAGTTAAAGATTATTTCGTCTCCTCACACACCACTTGTGCTTGGGCATCCCTGGTTGAGTCTACACAACCCTTCCATTGACTGGTCTCAGGGTAGCATAACGGGTTGGAGTAACAGTTGTCACACTAACTGCCTCCGCTCCGCTGTAGTCTCAGTTCCCGATAGCCATTCTGAGACTCCCAGATTCCCTGATCTGTCTAATGTCCCTAAATGCTATCATGATTTGGTGGAGGTGTTCAGCAAAGAGAAGGCTCTGTCCCTACCTCCTCACCGCCCCTATGA